TGTGGTTTCTGTCGGAAGTGATTTCCCAGAAGCTGTTCCTGTGGGCACTCCGATGTTTCTTATTTTCTCTCTCTGCTACAGAAATACTGAAGTCTCTCACCTACTCCTCCATTCTGAATTTTTTTTTTTTTTTTTTTGGTTTTTCTCCGGTACCGGGAACCGAACTCATGACCTTGCTCTTGCCAGGCATGCGCTTATGCCCCTGTGCTATATCCTTATGCCCGAGCAATATCCCCAGCGCCGTTTTTTTGTTTTTTGCTTGTTTGTTTTTTGTCTTTTTGAGGCAGACACTATGCAGTTCAGGCTGGTTTTGAGCTCATTTTGTAGCCCAGGCTGGTCTCACTTTTTTTCGGGGGTGGGGTACGAGGACTGAACTCAGGACCTTGCGCTTGCCGGGCAGGCGCTTGTGCCGCGTGTGCCGCTGAGCTATAGCCCTACTCTTCCCACGCTGGTCTCGAACTCGCAACGATCCTCCTGCTTCAGCCTCCGGAGTGCTGAGATTACAGGCGTGCGCCACTACGCCCCACAAAATGGAGTTAATTTTTTAATTTTTTTTTTTAAACCGGGAATCTGGAGCTGGGGATTTAGCTCAGTGGCACAGCGCCTGCCTGGCAAGCGCGAGGTCGTGAGTTCAATTCCCGGTACCGGAAAAAGAAACAACAACAAAAAAGGAATATAAACCGGGAATCAAACTCACAATCTTGCACTTGCCGGGCAGGCGCTGTGCAGCTGAACTATATCCCCAGGCCCCCGCTTTTTTTTTTTTTTTTTTTAACGGTGCCAAAGTTTCACATTTGTTAAAGATAGTAAATAAAACAGAAGGGTAAGGGAAAATAGGGCTCTGCACAGCGAGTTTGGGCCAAGTAAAAAGAGAGCAAAAATTTAAATACACCCTATAGTGTAGGGTGGGCTTTCGCGAAGAGGGGTGATAGCCCAGCGTGCTTTTTAAAGTCCTGATAGCCCACGATGCTTTTTATTTTATTTTATTTATGTAGGTATTAGGGAATCGAACTCGGGACCTTGTGCTTGCCAGACAGGCGCTTGTACCGCTCAGTTACATCCCAGCCCACCCAGGGTGCTTTTTAAAGTCTGTCTATGTAGGATATTAAAGAGTGGGATAAGAATGGTTTTTTTTTTAAGGTGGCTGGGGATTTAGCTCAGCGGCACAGCGCCTGCCTGGCAAGCGTAAAGTCATGAGTTCGATTCCCGGTACCGGAAAAAAAAAAAAAAGAAAGAAGAATGATTTTTAAATGTTTTGTCTTGAGGGTCTAACTTTTCTTATAGTTCCCGCTTAATTTCTGTCCACATCCCTTACACTATTCCCAGAATAAAAACTCAAAGAAATTCCGGATGATTTGAGGAAAAACACGGGTGAGCGGAACCCCTTCCTCCTGAAACTGAGTGGGCTTTATTCCAGTTTCTCAGGTTAGAGAACTTGGGGTTTTCAATAGGAACCCTTGCCCCTCGATTCCTACTCCCACAAAGATAAACACATAGATTTACATTTTATAATATAAATATATATAAATCACAAGACAGCCGGGCATGGCTGCAGAGGTCTCTAATCCCAGCACTCAGGTCCTCCTGAGTGGGAGGACCGAGTGTTCGAGAACAGCCTGGGTTACAAAGTAGGGTCGGGGCCAGTCTGGACTATACAGTGAGATGCTGCCTCGAAACCCTCCCCCTAAAAAGCAATCACAAATGGCAGCGCCTGTGGGAAGCGTTTGAAGATTTAGTTTTGTTTAATGCAAACAACAGTAATGGAAGCCAGGGTGATATGGAAACAGCCACGATGGAGGAGAAACGGTTCAAGTAAGAATTAAAAATGCAAAGTCATTATAAAAAAAAAAAGAAGGAAGAGGAGAGGGAGGAAGGGGAAGAAAGTAGGGGAAGAGGAGAGAAAGCAGAGGAAGAAAAAGAGAAGAAAGGAGAAAAAAGAGGAAGAGGAGAAGAGGAAGAGCAGGAGCACATTTCAGCACAGCCTAGGAATAATCCTGAATTCTGATCCCACAATGCACCACTTTGGGGTCTGGAATGAAATCCAAGGAGTTCAGGGAAGGAGATTCAAATTTAGGAATCATCCACATGCAAATAACAGTGCAATGATGAGAATAATAAGATGTCCATCCCTGGTGGACAAATAATAAGACTATCAGTCAAAGGAGAGCAAAACACTGTTGAGGGGGAAAGAGAGAGGAAGGAGGAAGGGTCTTCCAAAGCACTCAAGGAAACAAGAAGATAGAGAAGAAAGAAAAACACCGGGCTGGGGATTTAGCTCAGCTGCATAGTGCCTGCCTGACAAGTGCAAGGTCGTGAGTTCGATTCCTGGTACCAGAAGAAAAAACAAAAAGAGAGAGAGAGAGAGAGAGAGAAGAAAGAAAAACAAAGAAGCCAATGAAGAGATAGAAGAGATAATTATTGAGGTTGAATAGGAAGTTTTAAAAGAGTTAGGCTGAGCCGGGCATGGTGGTGCATGCCTGTAATCCCAGCACTCAGGAGGCTGAGGCAGGAGGATTGTTGCAAGTTCGAAACCAGCGTGGGCTACAAAGTGAGTTCAAGGTCAGCCTGAACTGTGTATCGAGACCCTGTCTCAAAAAGACAAAAAAGAAAAAAGAGTTAGGCTGGGCACTGTAGAGCATGCCTGTAATCCCAGAAAGCCTCAGCTACATAGCAAGACCTTGTTTTAAAATACAAAATAATAAATAAATAAGGAGGAGTTAATTATTGTGGTTAAATGGTAGGGCGTGGTGGGACATATCCGTAATCCCAGCCTTCAAGTGGCTGAGGCAGGAGGATCATTGTGAGTTCAAAGCCAGCATGAGCTATATAGTGAGTTCAAGGCCAACCTGAATAACGTGGAGGCATGACTCAAAAAGACAAAATAATAATAATAATAATAATAATAATTTTAAAAATTCAGTCCCAAGACTGAAAAGGTGATAACTATTAAAAAAAAAAAAAAAAAAAAGATAACTATACAAGAGGGGAAGGGAAGTCCCTACAGAGATGGACTTACCCCGAAGCAGCTGGGATCACAGCTGGAGGATGATCCTATGGGCTGCCAGCCTTTATAGGTGACTGCCTTGCTTTGTTCAAGGTTACACCTCTTTCTGGGGAACATCCATATCCAATGACTAATCAACACAGACAGACAAGGGTCCAGCCTGCCGTTTTGCCTACACTAGTGGTGGCGAACCTATGGCACGTGTTCCACAGCCCGATGTTTGTTATTTTTGAAACTTCTAAGAGGTTTGCCATCATTGGCATAGTCGTACACAAACTCTGAAGGGTCATCCCAGCTCCAGAGCACACTGTGGGTCAACTCAGGCCTTGTTATGACTGTATCACCATTCTCCCTGTGTTTAATCCTGCTTTTTTTTCCTCCTTTCCATATAGGTATTGGTGTCACTCAATAATAAATGTCCTGAATGTTATTTCCACCTCTCAACATGCAACAATGGTTTGCTCCAAATAACAACTGTCTGGGAAAACCCAAACTAACATGTAGGAGAGGGCAGGTGGAGAGGCCTTGAGACAACTTCATGAGATTGAGAAATCTCTGGCGAGTACCCAGCTTCTCTAACTCTTATCTTTTCCAGCTCCAACCCACACCTGACCACAACTACATGAGAGATCCTAAGAACCACCCAGCTGAGCCCTTCCTAATCCCAGCACTCGAGAGGCTGAGGCAGGACTGTGAGTTCAAACCAGCCTGAATTGCATAGTGAAATCTTGTCTCAAAAAGACAAAAAAAGGCATGTTTAATAATTAATTATACCCAGGGGTAGTGACAC